TACAGGGATGCTAGTCCTGCAACTGGGCTAAACGCATCCCATTGGGAGGGTGAGGGCCTCATTACCAACGGGAGGCCTGGGAAAGAGCAAAGGGGAGAATGCAGATCGCACATTCAGCTTGTTCCGATTGCTGTCCAGCATTTTCCACTGGCTGTGGATTTCTTGCTCTTTTGTGCTGCTCTGAACAGGTTTAGCATGCAGGACATAGTTCGGGTCATGATTCTTGGATGTTGCCTCACGGAAGTGCTGATATTCAGAGGTCAAGGGCTCATCAATTCTTAGGCTGCCGATCAGCAAAAATTGCCTACGATTCACATTCTGAACTCAATACTGAGGGTTTTTCCACCCTGGGTAGGTGCCATCAGGTTCAGCAGCAGCTGTGATAGTGCCAAGTCCAGTAGACTTCTGGAATTTAAGGTTGGCACGAAGGATTTGAGCATGTTTGTTAAATTAAAGACCCTGAAGTGCTACGGCCTCAGCAACTTAGAATTTTGCTGAGGCACCATCTGAAATGGCATGTTTAGAGGCTGGCATACGGTAGCAAATGCTTTGCCTGGTGGGCAGCTGACCTTATCTCAGGGCACCTTCCTTGTTTCCTACTCCATAGCTGGTAGGCCAAGACTCTCCTGACACTCTGCAGGGATACCGGAAGATCTCTGGACAGCTCTCTGCAATACGCAAAAGTCTAAGTATACAGTGGGCTGGGAAGTAGCCTCTTATACCTGCTTGGTTTGTGTGCTAGCGCATTTGTGGAGTTCCTGTCTGTCCTGGCAACACTGCCCTCGACCATGCTAAAATAGGGCCGGGAGTGTAGGTTATGTTTTGTTTCATGAGCCCATAAATATCCTACCTGTAGATCAGTACAGGGAGGTGACAGGGCCACTGAAAAAGCTGGGCGCCATGAACTCTTCTGAAGACAGATTTTTAGAGCAGGATTTCCCAAAATGGGAGCAATCACAAGGTTTATAAGACTACAGGATCAGGAAGTTAATTGTTAGCCTGTATCAGAAACCCACCCAGTGACATAAAAGGCCATCTCCCTACTTTTCAAAAATAGGAGGTTTCAGGCATGAATTCTGGAGATATTTATGACTCCATTTGGCTTACTTGACCTGTATGAACACAGCCTTAAATGAACAATGCTTACAATGTATGTATTCCCCTCATGCCTATTCCATGGGGGGAAAAAAAAATCATTTGAGAGGCAAAGGAACTATTTCAAAGTCATCATTACAGCCAGAGATTATACAAATAGATTTCTTAGGGTAATGAAACAGCCCTTCAGTGCACAGAGGCAAAGTTCTAAGGATTTCAGTCAACATTAGCTCAGTAAGGTTAGAAAAAAAGCGAAAAAGCAAAGTGTAATAGTTGGTGCTATGAGGCACTCGAAAGGTAAAACAATGTTTGATTACCTTGAGATAATAATAAAAATAGTTTCCTTATTGGATCCATAAAATCTAATGCTCATTGACCATTATCATCTTTACAGATAACTGGCTTTGAGCAATGGCGTTCTGACTCACAAGAGCTCGCCTGTTCTCAGAGAAGATGGATAAAACCCAATTTCACTTTGGCTGTTTCCACAGTCATCCTTGCTTTCATCGGCCGTGGACCTGGACTGAGGACTGAGGCCTCTGTGCGAGACTGACACCTTGACCAGAGCAACTGCTCAGCGAGAGCCAATGCTCCCATTCGACCTGCAGACTGAGAATTCGACAACTAAACTTTTTCTACCTACTTTACACTCTCTTGCAGGTCAGTATTTTTATTTGCTTGACCTCATGGGGGCAGACCTTGTAGTGGCAAAGGCTGTGAATTCTGAGGAGCCAGTGATCATCTACTGCTTCCTTCCTCAAACATTAATGATAGAGACAGCGGAGTAAGTGGACCAGGAACACAGCTGCTGTGTCCCCGACAGAGACACACTTACGGACACATAAGCAAGAGCCTTGTCTGCTCTTCTCCAGAAGAAGTTAAAAACAACAACAACAAAAAAAACGAGTATACTATTGGAATGTTTAAGATATCCTTCTTACAGGAGAAATACCTCTAAAAAATTATTACTGTGTAGTTTCTTGAGTGTCCTGAACTCAGTCTCCATGAGTTCTTCCTAAACAATGGTTCTACTATTTGAAAGTTGGGAGATTAAAATCTACAAAATAATAGTATACGTAAAAATGACTAATGGTTATGCAACTTAACAACGGACACCTCACCCCAAATATTGCCCTGCCTTGCAAGAGCTTACATTGCTCCTGTGATAATATGGGGATTTTTCTGGGTAGCTGAGGTGAGTATCCACACTGGTATTCATGCCGTTTATGAAAAGGCTACTGGCTGTGAGCACCTCGGTGTTACATGTTTGGCATCACCTTGTGCCCAGTTATCAACTCTGAATCTAACTTCTGTTCCTTCCAGATCACTTAAAGGAAATTTCAATGAGTTTGGTGAGAGGAAAGTGAAAACAGGAGGAAACCTCTGTCTTTAGATCCCCAAATTCAGGAGGCTAATTTCTTCTCCTTGGTTATCAAGCACAGTTTCCACTTCATTAGACGCACTGTTTTCATTTGCATATATAAAACTTATTTCTAAGTGGATGCTTCTTACACCCTCAAAAATAAATACTAGAGAACTAAAAGATTTAAAACATATAAAGCCCAATGAAAAATATGTTAAAAATGACAACTCTTCAAAACCTGTTTTGTACAGATTTTTATGTACTGCTGTTATTCCTATAACCAAAACCCAACTTGAGACGTGTTGTGTATGAACGAGTTAGTAACAAATGTACTAGGCTCATGAGGACATGTAATTTTTGGTATGGCTAATTTAAGTGAAAAACAATGTGAGAATAAGAAAACTAGAAGTGAAAATTTCCCCACGTGTGTTTGTCATAAAGGTCCTGCAGACGCTATATGTGCATCCATTCCCCTGGTCAAACAACTTTTCCCAAGTTTTCCTATTAGACGCAGGGTAGATTGTGTTATCCACCACTAGATGGCACCATGCGCAAGTGATCGATTTGTTTTCCTTCCGGATGAAGTAAACTGGTCTTTGCTCACAACCTACATAGAAGCCCTAGGAATGACAGGCAGGACGTGTCACAGGATGGCTGAGAAGGCGGCTCCCTACGCGCTGAACTGCTGAGTCTGGATCTTCCGAGTTTGAGAGCAGTCTAACAGCGATTACTTCACTCCCCCCAAGGAAGGAAATCAGAATTCGCGGGGAAAATCATTTGATGTAAATGCTGTGCTGTACATATGGAAGTTGCCATTCACCTGATGACAGATGAATACCGCACTTGTAGGGAATCAACCGCTCTGCCCGTTTCCGGTGCTGAGATTTAGAACCGAAAACCACGAAGCATCCGAAGTGAACCCCAAAGGCCCCCCCTCAATGGGGGAGCCTCAAAAATACAGTTCCTGCTGTGTTCTATAGTTCTGTGTTGATGACTTTTTTTTAGTCAGTTGTGGAATTGATTTATCTGAATGCTACATATTTACTCCTTTCTATTTCTCCTTAGGTGTCAGATTTCTAATTCTTGACTTCCACAGATGACAGCCCCCCCAAACCAGTAATGGTGAGTAACCTTGAGTTATTTTAAGATGCAGCAATGGACAACAGCTCTCTTTCCTCCTCCTCCTTTTTAAAAATTATGTATTAAATTTTTTTTAATGTAGAATTTTACTATCATCTTTTGGTCAAAGATGCATTGGTATAAGCATTATCCACTGAACTTGTTAGTGCAATCTTTCCCTTTCACAATAAGTGTAACATATTCTTATATATGGTACAGGGGGTGGTCTGAGAGAGATTATGGAATATGCATCTAAAACAAAAGATAAGAAATAAAAAGGCAGGAAAGAAAGGCTCCCCACAAGGTATCAGCAGTTTCTCGATGATGAGGATGGAGGAACCTGGGAATATCAAAAAGTTACCAAAATAGTCAGGAGAGGAAATATGTGTGGAAAGAAGGGGAAAAGGGTATAAAATTATTTCTAATTCAAATCCAGTCAGCAACTTGGATACCTCCAGCCCAAAAGTTAACCACAGCCATGTTTGAAAGTTCTGATTCATACGCACGGGAGCTTGTTGTTCAATCTTGGTTTGGCTCCTGGGCTGTTGACTCTTTATTCCCCACCTGCTGAATGAATTGAGTCCCTGTGTTAAAACAAAGAGCCTGTGATGGTCCTCAGGAAATATCATAGTTTACACAAAGTAGTCTGTTGACTATTTTTCAGTTAAAAATTTTTTTAATTAAAAAAATTTTGACCAAGACAATAATAGAACATAATTTGCAACTAGTCAGGAAGGCAACTGGTCCCAAGAGAGGAAAGAAAGTGATAAAAAGGGATGCCATCTCTGGGTGAACAGCGTGATGCAATGACACAAAGACAAGACTTGAAAGCATGACAAATATGTTACAGGTTAGAATAATTATCTTCCAAGTGGGAACTATTTGAAAGGCATAATGTAGCCTGGGCGAAAGGCTAGATGAATCTTTAAATGATCCAGGTCAGCGTCCATTGTGGCCTTCATACTGATGACGGAGACTGGGAGCATCACAGTGGAAGTCGAGCATTTTAGAACCTTGAGCTGATCTAATCCCATCCCTTCAGTTTACAGGTGAGGAAGCTGAGGTCCAGTGAGGGTAAATGACTCTCCCAAGGTAGCACAGCTAGACAATGACAAACCCAGAATGAGAACCGGTTTCCAGCTCAGAGGTTGTTCCTTCAACCACACTGACAGAGGACCCACGACAGGTGTGTGGGGCTGTGTGACCACAATGCTGAGTAAAGCCTGAATCAGAACACTTGAACGCTTCTCGTGACGAGACTCAGGGGACAAAGCCCCTGCCTGAGCAAGCTCAGAGACCAGACTGACAAAGCCAGTAAGCATTTACCTCCTTTCCAGGCAGAATGATGGGAGAAAGACAAAAGGTCAAGGAAGCAATGCCTGTTTAATTAAACTGGTGACCACGCCCACCTTGTTAAGAGAAGGTGCCCGGGTCAGGTCAATACCTAAATACTAACAGTACTGCTAACAAAAACAAGTTAAAAGAAAATCCTTTTACTAGAATACTTGTAAATACTCATCAATAATAATGATGATGATAATAATAATACCTTTCTTTTAAAAAAAACCACTTCAAGTTGCATATTACAAACACACATGTTGTGAAAAAAAAAATGCTTGTTTGTGTGGCTGAACATGAATCCCTGTCTTCCCTGCCACGCTATAGCTTTATTCCCCAAGGGCATGAGGTGGGTGCCCTCAAGGAATAAGGAAGTCTTAGCTCTCTCTCCTTTATACTTAGATTCTCCACTTCCCTGATACAAACAGTAACACTGGTTCTACAAGTTCTAGAAACAGAACACTGATGGGAGGATTATCTCTGAGACACTTGATGCACATGATTTGTAGGAAAAGTCTGTGATTTCTCTGTAAATTACTAATCTGAAAGAGACACAGCAAACCGTCCACAGCTTCAACTTCAAATGATTTAAACAAAAATAGAACGAGCCATGGACAGTGTCTGCATCCCTGTCCAATTTGATGTAAACAACGTTTGTAGAAACTGGGTTTGTTAAGAAAGTTTATCCATATATCTGGATAGCAATAAAAAGCGTTTCCTAGGAAACTGTAAGATCCTGTACCACACAGCATACAGCCCAACTAAGAGGAAAATTAGGTTGATTTCTAAATTCAAGATACACATTTGTACAATTGTTCTTAACTCCTGTGACGATGTCCGAGTAGAGTGGGCATGTATATTGGTAGTTGTGTCTGTTTTCCTTCTCTCTCCCGCTGCAATCTTGCCTGTGGAGCTCACTGGTCTAGACTGGGTTTCCTCCTCAGCTCTGAGCCCCTGGACGTCCACAGACTCCCCGTGACTCTCCTCCTTCATTCTCAGCCCCAGCCTGGGTCAATACTGCCCTTCTGCTGCTAACGACACTACTGTTTCATGTCTTCCCATCTCCTCCAAGACAGCTGCCAGCACGCTCAGGTTTCCATCTGGGAAGTTCTGTGCTTCCCAGAGATCCAGGATGACGCCAGTTGGACTTGATTTGGTGGCAAAGTAATTCAAGTACCTGTAATTGGTAATGGGAAAATGTGCTGAATGGCGTGATGTACGGATCTGTTTTCCTTTCAGTTTTTACTAAACCTTTTCGTTACTGCGTTTCTGTAAGTATAACTGGACCCACTTGGGAAACTGTGGCTTGCAGTGAGCCGTTCTCAACAACTAGCCCATACGTAATTAGGTCAGCCCCAGACAGGAGACGTGACGCCTTAACTTGAACCTCAACTCTGAGTAAGATAATTTAAGAGACAAGATGTCTGTGGGGCACATCCTAGACTTATGTTTTCTTTCCAGCCCAGGCTCTGATCATCTTTGACAGGTTATGCCATGCCTTTTGCTTGGTAGTGACGGCAACGTTCTACAAAGAAGAGGCTCCAGAGGTCTCTTCATAACTTCCTAGCAGCGCTGTGTTTAGCATGTTCATGACCCATCCAGCATTAGGTCCTGCTCAACAGGAGGCGAGGAACAAATTAGTGAATGGAGATATCATTTAGGGGGATTTAGCCTGTCAGCTTTGCGAAGTGGATCACAAAACCTGATATTTACAAATGTCAGGTAAGCCCAGGATGTCTCTCAACAATGTGTTTGCAAGACCATGGTGCAAGATACAAGGTAGGAGCTTAATACATGTTGTCATAATGAAAAGTAAGTAAACGTAGAGATGGAGAAAAAAAATGAACGTTGCCCTAAGTCAGCTGTATCAGTCCTGGAGCCCGATGTCTAACAGGAACTAGTTCTGAAGCCTGGCCATACCCACCTGTCCAGGTTTAGCTTATGGGCCAGCATCCTCCAGTCATGACCTCTCGTCTGTGGGGCATCCAGGCTGCTACAGAGCTTCTGCCGGATAGGGGGAGGGATGCTGAAAGCACTGGGTCCCGTCATGGTGGTGACGGTGCTCGCTGGATCCAGCAGAGGCAAATCGATACCAGTAGGTTCCTGTAGTTCAGGCACGGGAACAACACAGCATTATTTCTGAAGACAAAAGCAATCCTTATTGAGCCAATCAACATAATGCCTTGCTTTGAATGGTAAGAAGAGAATGAATGTTATTATATTCTCCTTAGTGAGAATGGCTTCTTTCTGGCTGACGGTTGTGATTCTCTGTAACCTGGCTGAGAGGAAGAGGTACATTCTGAGCTGATTTTTGCACAGCCTTGGATTTATGGGTCTTCTGTAAGGACTGGGCTAGCTGGAAAGCTCGGGTGTAATTCAATTACAGCTTTTCTAATGGGATTCTCCAGGATGAGCAAGGGAATATCAATACTGCTGAAGGTTTAGATTTCAGGGCCGGGGGGGGGGGGGGGGGGGGGGAGAGAAATGTTCAGAAGGGCAGCTCTTTGAGAATGAACTGATCTAGATCTGAGATTCTAGAGACTGTCTGACCCTGAGGGGAAGCCCTGGGCAAACGCTTGAGTATATTCTCCCTCTAACCTCTGTAGAAGATGGCTCGGGGCCTGCTTTTGTTGAATGAAATGGAACACAGCTCTCCTCCAAATGACATCAAATTAAGACTAATTATTTAAAAGAAAATGGCGAACACAGTACCTGGCTTTAGGGCAAGCTGCTAACAGAATCCTCCAATTGCTGTACACCCTTATTTGTTTTTATATCTAATTTTAGTAGAGAAAACCACAGATTGGCTCTTGAGATAGTTTCAGCTCATAAAACAGCACGATTGCAAAACCTGAAATTCATCTGCAGGAGAAACTCTAATCATTTTCTGATCACTTCTGCTGGTTGGAAAAGCAAATGTTGCCTGGGGACTATTAAAGCAATAAAAGAAGATCCACTTAATCTACTTTAAATGTCATCTCTCTCTTTTTCAGAGCAGGTAGCTCGGTGGTGAACATAATTAGTTGCTGGAGGATAAAACAGCCACACGCAGGTCCAGCCATCAGGAAGTCTCGGGGTCTGGTGGAGGGCTCCGCTCAGACGTCAGTGCCCCCGCCCTCCAGAGCCTCCCAGACCCTGCTGTTCCTACACCTGGGGGCCACTGTCTGTGTTCCAGGATCAGCAGCCCAGGCCCACTGCGAGGCTTGTGCGATCACAAGGCACAGGGTCCGTCCGGGGGCTCTGGAGGGCACGTTAGAGCAAAACAAATTTTTTTGCCATAGACCATCAAGTGGTGTTGGCTGTGATCACAATATCTGGCCTCAGAGCCCAAAGCTTGGCAAACTGAGCCTCGGAGGATTCCAGTGGCTCCTTTATGTTAACAACTCCAGCACATAGCAGGACTGAAAAGACTGGTATGAGATACGTTGGAGTCCCTGAATCCCAAAGAGCTTTCCCTGCACTGGGCACAGAGCTCTTTCCAAGGAACCACGAGGACAGAGGGCTCCTGACCTCAAGGGCATAGGGCTTAAACAAAGGGCACCAGAAGAGAGGACTCTTGTTTTTCAACAGATTTACGTTGGGAACGTCTGCACCCAAGTGGCCAGCACTTCTCTCAGGTATAAAATGGGGAGCGGGGGTGGGCAGAGGCTTGGAGAAATCACACCTCATTCCACAGCTTAGCGCTACGGCCCACTTGCAAGTCCTGCTTGCTTCTTGTCTGGACCGTAACAATGGGGCCTAGAAGGAAACCCATCCCTGGCCTGCAGTGGAGGCTGAGTCTGCACGGGGTGGGGGTGGGGGTGGGTCTGCTTGGTGTAGCGCTGCCTCGTGGCCTCCCCAGCTCCCTGCTGCTTCCCTGCGGTCTATCCCTTATGCCAGACTCATCTTCCTAAAGCCCAGCACTGACGTTTCTCCTGCCTTCTCTTGGTAAGTGTTAAACGGCTCTCCTACCACATGGATTCCCAACTCCTTATCAGGCCATGAGGTTATCTGTAGGGCCTGCCTGGCGGGCCGGCCTGAAGCCTGGGATGCCTGTAACCTGCAGAGCCAGGCCTGCCGTGGACGAGGGGCCCCTGTGTTCCCTCCACCTGGCAGCCTGGCTCCTGCCTTTCTCCGGTTGCACCGGCATCACTGGACCATTCACTGTTCCTAGCGCCTTTCTTAAGGATGTACCTTCGAGAGTTCTTCTGCCCTTTTCCTTAACCTCTGTCAGGCAAACACCTCAAAACGTGGGCTGCAAAGCATGTTCCCTGAGCAAAGCCGCCCAAAGCCCTCCGCCTGGAGCCCTCCTACAGCACTTCCCACAGCCCCTGTCCTCCTCCTACGTCTGCTCTATGCACGCTGGTTGTACTTACGGGCGACTTCCTCTGATTTCCCAAAGTTCTTGGAGATGAGAGTATTTTTGTCATCCTCAGAACTTCTATGACCCTCAGGGCAGTGCCCTGAACGTGGAAGCTACTCAATTGCTATTTGTTGAGGAGAGGAAGGTATGTTTTCTGGTAGAGCGAGAGGATGAAGCCAGTTCCTAACAGAAGCCCACCTCGCAGAATAGTGCTGCCACATTCCAACTAAACGTGGCTAAAGGTAAGGCTCTCCTCACTGTTCAGTCCTGAAGGTAAGGCAGGCACGACTCTCAGGAAGCTCTGCTCACACATACACTTTGTCCCCCTTCTCTTGGTGAATAAAGAACTATCAGCACTTTACGTGGGCCTTCAAACCCTGAGTCTCCAGCCCTGGCTACTGTGGCTGTTTATTTCCTTGTGCATGAAACAAGCCCTTGTCTCTCTTATCAGATGGCTGACAGCAGCCTTGGAGGTAAAAGAAAAATACATATATACCTTTACATTCAAATTTCATCTAGTAATTTCTGTTGCTGTTCTTCTTTTACTTCCAGGTTTGCTCTCACAGAACACTTATTATAATAATTGTTTATGATATTGGTACCATGTCTTTGATGTTATGCTTCCCTTGGTTAAACATGATTTTTCACCATTAACCAAACGGCTGCTATGGCACACATTTTCAACACTCCACAGGAGAAATGACTTTCCTTTCCTGTATTCTGACTCTTCCTGAAGTCACTTAGAAAAACTAGATTTTCCCAAGGGTCCTTTTTGAACAGGTTATAGAAAACAGAGGAGGTGAATAGATAGGATGGCTATAGCAGAGTGAGGCTTTGTACATCTTTAATACTGTTCTTTGTGTGCACGGAAGTGCTGTGTGTCAACAGTTAACAGGGTTATAACGTCTTTGTCTATACTGTAGTTAAAAGTCCTAACGAGACTGAAGCTTCTTTCTCTTCTCTACTTTTTTTTTCCTCTTGCTGGTGATGGGCAGCTTCTCCTTTATTACCTCCCCTGTCCCTCTAAGGAAAAACCTTTTATCATCATTTATCCTCATACTTTTAACTCTTCTAGGCATTTTCATTCTTAAACTTCATTTCGGTGAGACTAAAGGCTTTATCTGTAGGTAAGGAATCTCTGGCCAAGGCCCCTAGAGAGGAACAATCGTCCAGCTCTTGACATCACCCCGGTCTATGTCAAGCACAGCCTGGTCTCCCTGGGGGGGGGGGGGGGGCAGCAGGCCAAGGGCCGAGGAGCTTTAGAAAGGAGCGCTGGTGACGCCTTGCGCAGTGGGTGGCAGGGGGAGGGCAGCAGCGCTTTCCTGGCAAGTAAGCTCATTTTCAGGAGATGGGACGTTGGAACTGCAACCCCGGGCCACCTGCCAGCCTGCCGTGTGACCCTAGGGAGGAGCCCTGTCCAGAAGACAGGCACCACCAGTGGAGCCTTTTCTCTGGTTGGTTGTAGCTTGTCAGCCACAGGGAACCCCTCCTCGAGCTTTTGATGAGAATCCAGGTCTCGGGGCTCTCCAGAGCCAACTGTTCACCAGCACACAGCCTGGCTCCCGACATCAGTACCAGTCCAACTCTCCCCGCTCTGCGGGCCACATGCACCGCATTCAAATGCTAACAGCAACGGTGGGACTCGGTGACCCAGAAGGAAAAGCAGCAGAGTGGCCCCTAATCCCCAAAGTCATCTGACTCGGGTCATTTCTGCCTCCCCCCTCCTCCCGCTAAGTGTGCTTGTCTGTCACAGGCCTCTGAGGAGACTAAAGGGTCGGCCTGAGCTGACTGCCACCAGGTTGCAAAAGAAATCATCTTTCCCCTGTGTTGGCACAGGAAAGAAAGTCCTTAAACGGATCACACTATGACGTGACACTGTCTCTTCGGTGAGGGGTTGGGGGGGGGGGGGGGGGGGGGGGGGTCAGCCCTGACCAGCACGCTTTCATTCGCGGCCACAGTTCATCTGCCTTTTCATCCCATCGCTCATGCTGAACAGAAAGCAAGCATCAAAGGAGCAGACCTCCTCGCCCCCCCCCCCCCCCCCAGAATTCCGCAGCCTTTGTTGTGGCTGGAGCTGGGTGGGTATTGAGCTTTGCAGACCTGCTGGGCCTGGAAAGTGAAAACACCCTCCCGAGCCAGCAGGGGTGGTGCTGCGGGCCCGGGAGATGGGCCCGCGCACAGAAAGGCCCGGCGGTTGCCATGGCGCCCTGACACCAAGATCATGCCTTATGAATGTCACCGAGGCCTGTGACTAAAGTTGTTTATGAGTCAAAAGTCTCATGAAACAGAGGGAGGAAACGATGACCGCAGCTCGCCAGGCTGTGGGAAAGGAGGAGGTGGCAGCATCAAGGCTGACGTGCTTCCCCCCTCGGTTTGCTAAGGAAGACTGTCTTTAAATACGACATGTGGAGTGAGACACGCCGAACAGGGTGACGTTTCATTCGTCACTGTGCATGAGACAGCGAGGAAGAAGGAGTCTTTTCAATCATATACCGTCCGGCTGTACTTCTAAAATATGACAATTCTGTGCTGTCGCTCAAAAAGCAACGCCAAGCTCAGCTCCACAGGCCCCGGACGGTGCTGCCCCCTTCCTCTCACCCTGTCCTTTTCCTTTTGTCCCTCCAGCCTGAAGCGTTTCCATGGTTCTAACTCCAAGCCCTGGGGTCCCAGGTAACCAATGAGCACCCCCTCTTTCCACCCAGAGAAGTCTGAAATAGCTGTGATGGTTTTATATGTCTCTATCTCAGAAATGACAGAGTCCCACCTGAAGGAAGTGACGGTCACAGCGAGGAAAGGCAGTGTGATGGGCGCCAGGGGGGAAATGCCTAGATTTTACTTCTATTTCTGGACTGTCTCTCCTACCTCGGGGAGAAGGGCATCTCTTCTATTTGGAGGATGATGTATAAGAGAGCAACGAGACCAAGAGACTTCTCCTTTCGACGTGGAGATAAAAGGAAAGGAGGCCAAAGGAGGGGGCAGGGAGTGCACGGTCAGGCAAAGCAGGTGAGTTCCGAGGAAAGAACCAGAACAGGAGGAGAGGCGGAGGATACAAGGAATGGGACAGCAGGGATGCTTGGGGAAAGTTACTCTATGTGTGCAATACTTAAATTGAACCTTATACTTGAAGTCCAGATCTGTGTAAAAAGTTAGGACAAGATCCTTAAGTTCATGTCACAAAACATAAAAGTCCTGTTTTTTGAAAGGGATCCTCTATTACACTTTCATATAATTTTAGCTCCCTGTGTTCATTAAAAATACTATTCGATGAACCAGCAGGCCCTCCAGAGAGCTTTTCAGGACTTCCCACACGGAGATACTTTATACCCCACTGGCCCTCCCGGAGGTCGGTCTCTCCTCTGGTCTGAGACCAATGAGCGCCTCTTACCTCGGACACGGTGCAGTTTAGCTGGAAGATCTGCCCTTCTCCCTCTACCTGCCGCACACAGAGTTTGCAGACCAGCTCCACTGTGTTCAGGCTAAATCTTTCCAGAGTGAACGTGCAGTGGAGGTTTCTCTGAGACCCACTCCAGATGTGGTAGAAAGGAATTTCCTGAAGCATATAAAAGGGTGAGCCACAAATGAGGGACTAACGCTCAAGGAAGCTATCAGCGCGCTGCGGAGTACTCACCTCAGTACTGCACATGTTAATTACCTTATTTAATCCTCACGATGGGTCCATGCACAAGCACATCCCAACCTCCTTTTCAGGTGAAAAAAAACTGAGGCCCAGAGATGTTAAAGAACTCACCCAAAGTCCCACAGCTAGAAAGTGGCAGAGTTGAGGTCTGAACCCAGGGAATCAGCCCCAGAATCCTTATACCTAACCAGCCTGCCACTTCTCTGTCACTTACAAAAAAACCCCCCCAAAACAAAGAAAACATCATAAATGATCTTTTTTTTAAGGTTTAGACAATTGCCCAAATAAAACCTACACACTCCAGTCATTGCCCATTAAAAGGAACCCCTGCCATGGTACCCTGGAGAAAAGCAAAGTCTAAAGGATGACGCACTGACCCAGTTCCCTTTCATGCCTACGCCCTCCCTCTGCACAGGATGGGGAAAGTCAAAACTCACTACAGGTTGGAAACCGGAGGCTTGATTAGCTGCCACAGAAAAGTTCTTGGCCTAAAAGGCACCAAGCCTCTAACAGACGCAATTGTCTATGAGTCTAGATCACCTCACAGAGCCCAAGAATCTTTTTATCAATAAAGGAAGAAGAAGGATTGTTACAAAATGGTAGACCGTGTTGGTTAAGAACACAGGCTCTGGAGCCAAATCCAGTACAAATAGGATGCCTTCCCCTTGCTTACTCGGTGGTTTGGGGCAAGTTACTTAACCTTTCCTCAGTTTCTTCATCTGTGAAAGACTGTACCTAAGCAACAGAGTACCTGAATGGAGGGGGTTAAATGAGATTAATCAAAGTACACGAGAGTCTGGCAGATGGTGAGAACTCAGCCAGCCTTAGCTTAAACTAACATCAGGTTATCATTATTATAAAAACAACTTTCCATTATGGTTGCACAAAAAGAATTGTTCATAAAAGGGGAAGATCTGTGGACTTTTATGGCAGTTGCAAAATCAGAGAAAGAAGAAAGCAAAGGAGGAGATTTCATGAGAAAGTTAAAGCCGATCTTTCAATCAAGTGCTGAGCGTGTACCCCCAACAAAGCTCGAGACTGTAAGCAAACCAGTGGGTTTGTTTCCCACAATTTCTGTGTAAGTACCAGACATCTGAGAGTAAGAATGCAGCTGAAACTCTTCCCTTCATCCCTTCTAGTATGTTCATGACTTACTACATCAGGAAATCACAACCAGTGCAGCTACAGTGCAGGGTGTGGGATTGGATTTGCACGTGTGTAGACAAGGACTCACTGCTGAGCCTAAGGGTGTCGACGACTCCTAGGATGGGTCTGAGGCTCGGGATCCCATCACACAGTCTCCTGAGAGCGTGGGCTGGCTGATGGAGGACGAGGCGAACACCTCTGGAGAGTCTTGTTTTTCCCACACACAGCTACATACAGTGGGACTTGGGACCAGTATTTTTATGCTGTTATCTAATAAAATCCTGACCAGGTTTTATTTTCACTTGCTATCCCAGCTTCCAAGCTGAGGTTCCTTCTAAGTTTTCAATGTAAAGGCACTCTCCTAGCCAGGCTGAAGCCTAATTTGTGTCATGTGGGATAACAATGTTCCCTTTCTCCTATGAATGCATCTGAGGCTGGTTTTTACCAATTCAATGTTAACATTACTCTGAGAATGCATAGACATGATGGACTGGGAAATCTTATTTACTAAAACATTGATAGTAAAGTTATCTGAAAGAGAATTCAGAAAAAAGCATCTCCTCCAGTATGTCTAGAGTATTTTTCAAAAAATCCTAAACAACCCCCAACTACTTTGGACAAACGAGTACTGAGATAGGATTACTTTCAAGGAAGGGAGTATCTTCTGTCTAAATCATTCTAGTCCTCTTGCAGATGTCTCCAAGCCTTTAGTTCAGCTTGGGAACCTTACCTGATATTTGGCCAGCAATTTGCTCTTCCAGAGGGAATGGGCGACATCATGAATGGACAGGCGCAGGTTGTGGGTGCTGCCTTTAAAGTGAAGAGCCTTAGGTTCTTCTAGGAGCTGTCCTCCCATCTGTCTCTCGAGCTGCAAGACTTCCTGCGACGACATGTCCCAAACCAAAAGCAAATATGAATGACTGGCATCACTTCCATAGTATGCTTCCTCACTCTGCCCCCAGCCCCAAAACCTAACTGTGCAGCACGTGACCTCCATCCTGCAGCCCCGAGACCCTCCAACTGAGGCCCCCGCCAGTCTGCACGTGACTGGGCCCTACTGGCCATGGACTGGGTCAGCAAGCCACACGACACTGTTGTGCGGTACATTCAGTACAGTCTACACTTCCTGACGAACAAGTGGGGTATTTAATCAAATACGGGGCAACGACAATCAGAACCCAAAATGGGGAGAATCCCCCCAAAAAGAAAAAATTGGTAGAAACGTAGATAAACAGATACGTAAGTAGATTTTCAATGAACTTTTAGGGAAAGTGGCAAACAACTAGAAAGCAAACCAGATCTTAGATTGGAAATACCAGCTAACAAATAAAAATCTGGAATGTGTTTTGGGCACTTTTTCTATTTTTTTTTTAGTTTCTTTACCTACAGAAATAAAATTTGTGCTTAAAATGATCCACTGCACAATTCCCAATTATCAAAAAATAAAAATATGCTCATTAAATATTCTAACAGAGGAAAGTACACTGATACAGATTAGGAGGATTTTTCAGCACCAACTATTGATCTAAACAGTCACTCAGATTAAATTTTTTAAAAAACCACCTCATTTTTCAAGAACCATGGCTGATTAAATTTGCTATGTAACTTTACTTATGCTATAAAGATATAACACGAAGATAAATTCTGTATCTACTTCCACTCCTCAAGCTAGCTAATGGGAGTTAATGAAGCATTTCCAGCTACAGCTGCAATTATCCAAACATCAGCAAGCCATAAGTTATCAATGAACAAACATCCCGAGTCCCCTCTGCTGTCTGAACCGTCCTGGTGCAGTTTGTTCCTCTCGTGCTGTAAAAGTTTTAGTGATAAGAATACGCAGGCATCTGTGACCTTTTTTCCCAAAGGGGTTCAGGAAAATAACGGATTTTATAACAATATAAAAACAAAATACGATTTTCTTCTTTGGTGAGATTTCAGTCGGAAGCATGGGGTTCAGTAACACAGGTGATCACTCAGGCCATTCCACAGGCGTGTATAGGGAACCTACTCCCGCACAGATAGATGGTCCCAGTGCAGAACTGTGGTCCAGTAAGTGCAGAGCTTACCAACATCACTGATTAGATGGCAACAGCTCATTTCAAACTGCTCCGTTACTGGTTCTTAGCACCCTCCATCTTTGAGTCGGGCCACTATTCTGCACAATGCAAGCTGCCGAAAGGTCCTATAAGGTGTAGGGAATATGAGGGTGATGTGGAATGTGGTCTCAGGCAGGGACTCCTCTAGTTAGTGTGTAATGGAAGAGATGAGGCAATAGCACATTGACAGAGATGGGAGTGGTCCAGCTACTTGAGAGCACTGACGTGGAGAATATTCAACCTTGCTGGCTGATAAGCGGCTGTTACCTGTGACAGGAGACAGCACTCAGCCACCCCGACACAGACGCTGTGTCACTGTGCCCTGGCTCTGCTGTGCCCGGGCTCTGCTGTGCCCGCAGCTCAGCAGGCTCCAAGGGTCCCCATAGGCCTCTAGACGTACCCAGCACAGAGCCGTACACGCTCCTCATGAAACACCCTCCCACAACACTTCACACTCCAGTCCTCGAGGAGAATCTGGCCATGCGGGAATAAAGACGGATAAGAAAAGCGAGGGTTAATTGCAGTTTCTTCTGCTTCAGCAGGAAGGCGTAATGAGCTTATGTTGATCATGTTCAGGGTCTAGTTAGCATAATAGAGAAAGCTGATGTTCCCGGTGAACCAGGCACCTGACAAATTCTAAAGCTAAAATGATGTTTGTTTACAAGCCATTAGAAGAAAAGAAACATAATTAGAAATCTTTGAGATTACAGTCATGCCAATCAATCAGTTCTAGCTTCTCTCCAGTACACCCTAATTACCTCATGAAGACATCTAAAGAGCAATCGATAGTAATTATCTGATTACTATAGATCTTCATTATGTCCAAATTATCTCCCTGGGATGTCTAAAAGAAGACGCATTGTATTCCGGGAGGTAACTGTACCCAACAATGTATAATCCACACCCCATTCCTACAATCAACACAGATCGCCAGGGGAGATGGAGGACGTGATCAGTTTTCTTGGCAGGGGTGACCACTGAAAAAAACCGAAACTGCCTATTGGCCATGACCTTGAGGTCAACAAATCTAATACAGTACCACATTGTGAGTGCAAAGTCTGCGTAGGAGGCAGCCCAAGAATAAGGCTCAGTCCTTGGCTTCTTCGGCATTGACCCCGAAAGTCATGGTAAAGAGTTCTCCCAGTGAGGAAAGAGACTGGGCTGGCTCAAGCCTTTTTTTGAGAGAAGGTACCAAGTAAAGTGCCATTTTAAAGAACATGGTGCTGGAGAACACACTCTCTCCATATTCTTAATTTCTCCATCTCTCCGCTAACCCGGAGTGACACAAAGCTGCTGCACACAGCTGGGAGGAACCTGACTTCTCTGTCCTGTTCAGTTGGACAGGAACCCTGGTGAGAGATGAACTGCCCACGAGGATGCATCCATGCTTGGAGCAGGGTCTCTAAACATATTTGACTGCACATGCCATCAATCAAAAAGAAATCAAGCCTGCATTTTGTTTCTGTTTCTTTATAAGTTATATACCTACATTAACACATCAATATGTTAATGTTATACAATATACCTAAGGTTAAAAGTATGTGCTAAGATGAACAGACACAGAAGTGTTAAGATGAACAGACACAGAAGTCTTTAATAGTGTCTATTTTTACCCCCCAAATCTCATTGGCCTGGGGGTTGTGAAGTCCATTTTGGAGACTGCTGGCTGGGGCAGCTGTCCCTCCACTAGTACTTTGGGAGAAATCAGCCAGGAGTAAATGATTCAGTAAGAAGAATCCTTACCACACTTAAATTTAATATTTTTTTTCTGAAAAGTAGCAACTGGTATCATCGCACCCAGGATGTTCAACTTCAAGGGAACACAACAAAATAAAGGAGAAGACAATAACCAAAGCACAAATATAAAACATTGAAGTGTGAGTTAAAGATATTACGATCAAAAACTAAAACAACTCCTTGGAAACTAAAATCACCTAGAGCCACACGAGAGGGACCTGCCACATACAGCAAATCCCATGTATAAATTTTACGTCAGAAAACAGAAGAGGCAAGCCCACTTGATAGGCTACTCAGGGTTTTGTTCCATACTGTTATGGTTTAAGTATCATAATTTCAGATATTTTACAGCTGATCCCACTTAAAATTAATGTAACATTTTAAAAAGCTTGATTCTCTGAATTCCTTCTGCATGAAATCATTTTGGTTATTATACATGATACAGAGAACATACAAATAACCGATGTGTGAATCAACAAAATACAGCTTTAGAGTCACATGCTTTCCTCTCAGTCTTCCTGGGAGCATTCATTCAACACACCTGCCAGGAACCACGTCGGATTCTGGGACGCACACACAAGTCAGCCTCCGTCCCAGCCTCAAACCATACTCACAAACCTCAGCTGTGGGGAGACCGACATATAAACACGTAACCCCAACGTAGTGTGGCTCAGCTCTAAGCTGCTTTTGGGTCCCAAAGGTTGGGATATTTCACACACCTTACGAGAGGACAGGAACAAAATATATTTAAGGTCAAAAGAGGAAGACTTAAGAAAAACAGTGTGACCTTGGAAAGAAATGCCGTAACAGGAATTAGGATCGTCTAGGCTCTTTGTTCTCAGAAATATAGACGTCGCCTTCCTCTGCAAAGGCTGTCCTCCCTGCCGGAAGCACCCCTGCCTCGGTGCCTTGTTCGGGCTCTGCTTCTATAGAAGGTGTCCCTTTCTGCCTGCCTTTGTCAGTTCTATCTCCAGCGTAACCTTGAAAGACTCTTGCAGGGGTCAGTTATCAACAGAAATGTCTCCAGCCCATCCTTCCATGGGAACACACACGTGAACCCCATGCCGCAGGGAGCAGGCCTGTGCATCAGAGCCGGAGCCCGCCGGGATCTGGGCAACCCCACAATAAATGCAAGCTGTTTTAAAGGACTGCGTGTACAAAGGGAGCACCTCTGGCCTCTACCCAGCCCCCCCCCCCCCCCCCCCCCGGGCGCCGCGCCCTCATTACGGCGCGCGGGAGGAGCCCTGCGACTCCTACCCTCCGGCCCCCTAAGCCCACGGCTCTTCACTCCGCGTTACTGCCGGGCCAGTCCACGCCTGCCTCCGCTGCCGCCCGCCCGTGTTCCTCCTCCTCCGGGCCCTTCCCAGCCCGGGCAGGTGTCAGCCTCACAGCTAGCGCACACGAGTGCCCCCGGTGGCGGGGCTGCCTACGCTGAGATGCCTGAAGCTCATGTTCGGGAACGTGACGAGTCTCCGTCTGGGTGCAAAGCACTGACTGTGTCCCAGGACCTGCGTGAGGCGCCGGGCCCTGGCTTTGCCTCTGCACTCCGTGCTCACCCTTGTCCGCCGTCCCCCTCGCCCTGCGCTCGGACGCCCCTCGCTCTGCTCGAGGACGCGCCTCCTCTCTCGCACCGCTGCTCCCAACTGTGCCTTCTTCTTTGAAGGCACTTTTTTTTTTTTGCGGTACGCGGGCCTCTCACTGTTATGGCCTTTCCCGTTGCGGAGCACAGGCTCCGGACGCGCAGGCTCAGCGGCCACGGCTCACGGGCCCAGCCGCTCCGTGGAATGTGGGATCTTCCCAGACCGGGGCACAAACCCGTGTCCCCTGCATCGGCAGGCGGACTCTCAACCACTGCGCCACCAGGGAAGCCCGAATGCACTTTTTTTAACATCTGGTTTCTCAGGAATACAATCCAATTTGTGGGTTCTCCAGCCTTTAGCTTCTCCCTCTCTGTCTCTCTCATTTTCCCTCCAACGACTCTTACCGGCTACAGAAAGGAAGACACAAATAATGAAACTTAAATCCCGTATGACACATTCAAATCGCT